GGGGAGGTACGAATGAGGCATTTAGTTCAAAATTCCTCCGTGAACAGCGCTGTAGTAGAGAGAACTTTGGCAATGAAGGTTTACTAATCGCAAAAATAGTTCTGCTAATAAAATAAAATTATAAATGTCTCAAATTCAATTTTATTATTTTTTAATTATAAAATTAAACTATCATAACCTAACCGAACTAACCAAACTTGCTGATAAAGAAATAATATAACAAAAGTTTAGTAATAGGAAAAATAATTCTGTTTATTAAATAAAACTAGAATTTGCTCAATTAAAATTTTATAATGACTTAATAATAAAATTAAACTGTAATAACCGAACCAAACCAACCAAACTTGCTGATAATAAAAAAATCTTGGACAAAAAGTAAATGCTACCAGCAGGATTCGAACCCGGGACCGACAATATATCAGCCCGGCACGCTAACCAATAGACCACCGAGGCCGATGGCTACCGATCGTTTTGTTACGGTAATGGCGTTCCCTCAGCTAATAAGAAGCCCACAGCTGTCATCGTAGCCTCTTCTATACCTCCCCTGAGTAAATACCTAAAACTACAGTATACAAAAAATTACAATTCTTTCCAGAATTTGTTCAGGTTTTATTTCCAAACATGTTAAACAAATAAATTTACCCATAGATCTATGAGCTACATAAATAAGATTGGCCCAATGAGTAGTAAATATTCGAATTTAATTATATTTGTACAGTTTTATGAAAAGATAACCTTAAACAAACAATGTACTATGATAAGGTTACTGCATTTTTTTAAATGATACCATGTGAGATAACGTGCTTAATTATTTTATCTTAAGTAATTAAGTGTTCAACATTTATCGTAAGCATTAAAATAAAGCATTGCAATCAAAGCAATGCACAAAATATACATTTTATTATAAATTTATAGCATACATAATACCAATGTTGGGGCTGAGATGTAAAACTGATAACTAATAATTGGCCGTTGATAAGCAAACGGTTTGGATAATAGTAATTATGACAGTTGTATGTTTTATGGAACACACTAGTCTGATTGAACAATGTTTTCAATTTTTTACCTTCTCTGTTGTAGTTACAACCATAGCTTAAATAGGTACCAGTTACAGATGAAATGCACCGCGTTTCAATTGTTGCCCTTCGCAGAGGTTGCGGGGAATTGTTAAATTGGGAACGGAAAGCCCGCCTTCCCTTCTCCAAATTGAGTTACTACAATGAAAACGCGTTCTCCTCTAAAGCCTAACGTTTGTTCAACAAAATGCTTTCTCCAGGCTATGATTTGAACACAAAGGAAACATATACTTATGATTTATTTGCAAAAAAACATTGGAATAATATTGCCATCATCACAAATCATCATAACCTCTAAATATTATTAAAAATATTATTACTCATTAACAACCGTTATAGGAACTAACTAGTGATTTTATAACTACGTGAGTTTTCAGTAACATTAATAACCAGCACTAATTGGGTAACTTGTACCTTGGGAAATTCTCTTAAATCGTAAATCCACCCCTTACTCTCCCTCTGAATATTAATTCAAAATCTCTAAGAGTTACAGGGAGCAATTAAAATTATCGCATTACAATTTGTCTCTTAAAGAGATAACAAACTCCATAGAGAAATTATTACTACTATTCTTTTACCATTCGTCAGCATTTGTTTATTCTTAAACTAAAATATTTTGTGTTACTTTCAAAAGGGCATTTTTTCTAAAAGTTAAGTATACTATTATAACTTTTCTGTTAAATGTACTAACTCAAAAAATTACACAAAATTATTTATGAGATTTGTTTTAAATAGGTCAATACTTAGCAGACCAATTATGTTTGCTTAACAGTATAATTGTGTTTTTAAATTTAAGTATATTGTTGGTTACTAAACATTATCTTTGATGAATTCAAAATGATAGTAGTTATTTCATTTGACACCAATAAAAGAAATGCATACAAACAACCAAAATAAATCTGTAAGTTATATTATGTGTTCTATCAATAAGTATAACTAGTATATTTCCAATTTGTTAACAGTTGTAAAATGATAATTTAGTGATTAGTTGTGCTGTAAATACTTTACAAACACGATTCAGTTATATAGTTCAGGTTTCACGTAATTTCCAAAAATAAACCAATGTAGTCTTACATGAATCAGATGAAATACAGGGTAAAGACATTTTACAAAACTTCTTTAATATTATCACTTTATCTTTAACTTGTAACCGATTTCTAAAATTCTGTTCTCGATAAGTCTACGATAGAGTGTGCACATAAACTAACTAATGGCTAACGCATGTGTGATTTGAAACCAATTTGACCCCTCTGCTATATTTATTTATACATTAATTTGATCTTTGCCCCAGGTTTAGTGTAAGGTGTAAGTAAGCAGAGGTAGTGTAGAGGGGAGGGGAGGGGTGAGGGACCCAATAAGGCCTGTTACGTCGTTACTGGTGGCGAACCAGCCCTTAACGGCACCACCGCAATATTGTCTCCCTGTATTGGACCCCTCCTAGTTTATCACTTAGTTTTGGGGAGTGAAACGTCCATAATAAAATGCGTAAGTAAACACAACATCATTTTATATCGTTCATTTTAGACACTACAATATTCATGGGAATTGTTACAATCAACGATACTTCTGGCTTATTATAACTTTGTTTAAGTTTATGACTAGAAGAGCCTTCTGATTGGAATCTGTTTTCAATCACACCACTAATGTTTTGAAAACACAGACAATGTTTCCAGCAACATTAACCACGTTGGTTGCAACAGTGCTTTCGTTGATATCGATACCACCAAAAACGTTACAACTTCTGTTATAACAGAATATATCACATTACGTTATACCTTAAATTTAAAACTTTCAATAGTGAAATTTGTGACATTATAAACGGACTTACTATAAAATATCATTACTCATAGTTTCACTGTGTTTTTTAGATATACAATTTCCAATCGGTGTAATTTTTAAACATTAGTTTCAAACACTTTGCAGCTGAAATTCGTTACCACCAATCGCAGTCACGAGGTAAGCTCATTCATACAATGGCTCTCAGGTCAGGTGGCCGTCATTGTTTAGAGTTCTAATCAGCTTCCAAAGGTTGGCAGTATTTTGTGCCATATATTGGATTGTGGGTTGGATTAATACAGTTTAATATACGAACACACAGTTTTCCTTGCACGTTGGTTTTTTATGTCTTTCCACTTGTCAGATTGTAATGAAAGTTATGCTATCTATCAATTCGACGGATTCAAATAGAATAGCATGACCTGTCATGAATGAAAAGAGCAGGAAACGGCGTGTCTGATGGTGTTGACTTCTTCCTGGATGGTGTTGCCTCATTCAAGCGAAGGATTTTAGAAGAATGTTTACGTAGTTTATTCCTTTTGTTTTTGTCTTTTCATAGTCTACAACACTGTTACATTGTTTCAATTTTTCAGTTTATCATTGTTATCTTTATATTGTTATCTTTATTGTAACTTTTATTTCTTTGTTAACTCACACAGTTTTTCTTTGTTAATCTATTTATCCTTGTTAATGAATTTAAAAATGTATTTTTTGTTAATTATTATTGTTATCTACTCAAATCAAATTTATTATTGTTATCCATTGTTAACGCTTTTACTGATTTGTTTTGTTGTAACGGTTTTGTTTATTTTCACTTGTTTTGTTGCAACCGCTGTCTTTTTGCCATCTTGTTGCCGTCTCTCTTTGTTGTTGTTATCAAATTATTCTAATTCTTTGTTTTCACTCAACATTATTTTATAACTAGATTTAAGAAAGTCTTGTTTGTATTGCACTAATTTGCACGAAATATCAAAATGGAGCTGTCCGTTGGAATGTAAAATAAATAAAATAAAATAAAAAAATAAATAAAAGATTTTTAGAAATCATCGAATTTGAGGTTCAACATTTTACTTACATTTTCAGGCCTGATCAGTGGCGAGAGGATTGGAAGAATACATTGACCTTTTTAAGTGAATTTGGTCTATTTAATGTGTCTTTAATGTCACTCTTCGAGTGGCCAATGTTCGCCATCACGTTTTACTAGCATCTACAGGGTTTGATCTTGATCAGTTTCGTATGAAGGTCGAGTTACCAATGTTTTCCCTCGCCCTGGAGGGAGTCAACCGTGAATGTTTAATCAACAATGGTGGAGGAGTTGTATTACCAGAGGATTACGAGGGCTTGTCGACACCGAAGGGTTGCCGCCCTAGGATCAAAGGGCGGGGGGCTGTGTCATTGATATGATAAAATAAGCAATATAACCTGATAAATCCTACTAGGGCGCTGGGCTTTGCACTTCATGTAGCTCTGTATGATATATACCTAGGATAACACATCGTAGGGGGTCCAGCTAGGGTGGTGTGTCGCTTGATTACGTTTTTGAGGAGTTTTCAGTCTCGCACATCACACGTCGATTCTATGCTTATTAAGATATGCACTACATCTCCAAATAATCAATGTTTCACACCAAGTATACAGTCGAATCGACCTATAGCATTTTTACATCTTGTTTTTGTACTGAAGATATATGAAAAGGGGAATTTGTTTTGTGGAATAATTTTTCCAGAGGTGCTATGGATACAATTAAAATACTTCAATCTAATCAATTAAATCAATCTTCAATCAAACTAAAAAGTTCAATCATACAAAATGTGACTGTTGAACAAACTAGAAAAAAAGGCGAAACAACGATATTTTAACTAAAACATTTTAACAACATTGGTAATATTTTTAATTTATTTTCATAACAAACTTGGCCTATATATTGCAACTTTTCATTGACTTTTTCATTTAAAGAGAATCTACTCTTAAAATCATTCGATTACCCGTTTCCTTTCTCGTGGGTATAATTTTGTATTTGTTTTTTTTAAATAATTTAAATAGAAAAATAAATATAATGATTGTACTAAGGAGCTGCTTTTGATAACAAAGTACTTTTACTATTATGTAGTACGCAATGTTACATGGTGTGATGCTGGTTGTGTTTACCTGCTCAACGGCTCCATCGTCAGCTGTTGCCCCTCCGAAGAACCGCTTGGGCAACGACATCCATCCTGTCACAGAAAACACATAGTCACCAACACAATAGTCATTGATGTTCAATACAACTATACAATCTCACATACTATTGTATGTTGTCTAGCAGAGTTCGATAGGCTCTACCCATAACCATCCCTAAATCTCCATACATCCTGGGAAATAACGTTACATCAACTAGCGTATTCAGTATTTATATCCTGTAATATATTCATGGGTTAATTTGACACTGCAGTAGCTGGATGGATTCATAGTGACTAGCCACATGACGTAACTGTGAATTTATTGCTTTGCGTCTGCTAAGTATTAGTGCTCCATCATACACTTCAATATAGTAAAACTAACTCTTTTAACATTATGATTCTTGTTTTAATCTCTTCCTTTGCATTACCTACTCCTGACATTTTATTACTAACCTTACATTAAAAACTATTACAAATTATATAATAATAAAAAATATAAAAAAACATGAACTGTTGTAAAGACAAGCAGAATTTAGATTATGTAGTACAGAATATATAATACTAATATAATATGTAGTAGAAAATTCGTTTTTTTGAAACATATATTGACAAAGAAACATTCTATACTCATCGACATTAGAACTATTATAATTATGAATTCAAACTATCAAAAGATTTAACATTATTCTTTTGGACACAACGTATTAATGATCGTGCATTAGTGCACCCAAGAATTCCTTAATTGCGCTAAGCCCTCAAAGAGTCCCAAAAAATGTTCCTTAGTTGCACCGTCCGAGCCAGGTAGGGGTGAGTGGCCGGCAGAAGGAATAATGTCCTTGTTTGCATGTCATCCTAACCTATCCTAACCTAACCTGATATAACCTACTCAACCTTACCTAACCCTAACCTAACCAAACCCAACCTAACCTAACCTACTCCATTATACAGTCAAAGAGAGCCGCAACTTGGTGCAGTTAATGAACGTATTGGGTGGCTCCCTGGAGTAGTCGGCGCAATTCAGGAATACCTAACTACCTGACTCAGGTCAGTGGATGCAATTAATGCCCGCCCGTTTTAATGACTTTACCGTGTAGTTATTACGAATTTGCTTAATTTTCACGTTAGGCCTTTTATATTTTATTACATAAACTGCGTGCAAGTGTTAATTGCATCTGAAAAATGTTAACAAATATAATGCCTATTTGTAGTAGGCCTACCATCCTATTCTACAACTTGTTAAACAATTCAACCCTATGTTTAGCTGTTCACACCCCTAAACAACAGATCAGCTGAAAGAGTTAAAACACCAAAGCAGCAGGAAACCTAATACACACGCAATTTGTTTGATTGGATATTTACTCAAATATTCCCATAAAACCAGTTTGTTATTCCCTTATTTAACATTGGATTTAACAATTACTAAGTACGATCTTGCTGGTTCGTAAAATCAATCAAGTAGCTCTTGACAAATTTCATCAAAATTTGGACAAAAATTTGATCTATCGTGTTTACTGACACACACACACACACACACACGCGCGCGCGCGCGCGGCCTTATAATATATATATATATATATTAATTTGAATCTATATTTTTCCATGCTACCTTTGGAAATAGCGTCTTCCCTATATTCGCCAAATAGTAGTTTTCATCACTAGGAGCGAAAGTGGCTCTTTTTGGTACGTAATTTGGAAATACATACTATTAAGTACCAAAAGGACACTTTCGCTCCATGTGATAAACAACAATTTTCATCATAGTCTACTGTGGAAATCTTTTCCGGACAGTATGATGAAAACTATTTTTTTTTTTGCTAGTACCAGATGTGTTACAGTTTAATATTTATGAGTAAAAAATGGTAACTAAATAAAATATAAACATTGTGTGGTTAGGCTACTAATTGTTGCCTGGTAAACTGGTCAATAAAAAAAGTTTCTATAAGCTTAACTTTGTAGCAAGTAGTAACATTGTGTTTGGAGTTATATTCCGAGCTCTATTGTACCTCATTCTACCCTCCTCCCCCAATCCCATCCCCAGGTCAACTGGCCAGACTGCCGGTTCCTGTGTCCCAATTGCCCGGTGTTCACCGTAATGATGCAAACATAACTACTCCTCTACTCCTCTTACACCGACACATGAAATGTCAGTAAGGATCATTATAACACACGGTAGATTGATATCAGTTCTGGGGCACTTTAAGGAAAAATTTAAAATAGAAGAAACAATAATTTCCAATAATATGTTTGTAAAACAATGACAGCACTAGTAGAATGTCCATTCACGTTCGATATCAATCGCTTATCTCCGAAACGGTCTCCGTAAATATACGTATGTTGAGACGTGAAGCAGGCAAATGACTCAAAAAAAATTATTTAGAAGCTGTAAGCAACCCCTTGATTAAAACAAAATTAGCTTAGCTTGTAAAAAAACCCCGAGTGAAATCCAAACAAACACATTGGAACCTTAAGACCAGGTTCTTTAGACACTTAACATAAAATAATCTCAAAGTACCTATTGAGTATGAGAAAACCCTGAAGATTGGCATTGTCCATAGATATCAACCTGCGATGAAGAATTGATTCAACAGTAACAGTCAATGTAAATATTGATCATTTAACTCAACCTTAGTTTCTAATGATGCTGAATTCCAATTTACAAATAACATAGGAAGAAGTTTTACTTGGCCTTTTGTTCTTTAAAATCCTTGGGGGAGATTATAATGAAGTTAATGAATTATCCATAGTAATTACAGTTTCATACTACACAATCTTTTTTAATGTAGTTACGTATTTTACAAGTTTGGTGTAACAATGAACACATCATGAATAACAATTGTACTTTATTACAGATGGAAGCGACGTCAAACATTAACTGTGTGATGTTCTTGGAGCTTGATTAGCAGCTGATTTGAGTCAATCAAAGTGACACAAGCAGAGAGTACTAATAGTAATGTTAAAGGGCTAGTCGTGACCCTGGTCCAGTCTTTCAGTTAATCAGTAATGCTAATATGATGAGGGAATATAATATGGAAGGGTCGAATGCTAACCCTTCTCCGCGCGTAGTCCGTCCCCGGGGACAGACTTGTGTCCGGTACGTGCGTCAGTATGCTGATTAAATTAGTTTATCTAATTTGCATATCAGAATAACTATACATAATTTAATCAGACTCATAATAATAATTCATTCTCAATTGAAATTTTATCGTAAAAGATAAACGTTTGTCAAAATCTAACTGAGCTAACTAAAAATTGTCGTGTTGGTAGAATGTGAATGTGAGTGAGACGGTTGACTCAGTGGGTAGCGCAACCATGTCAGTGAAGATGTAGCTTCACGTCATACATGTAGTGCCCTCGACTATAGCTTGAGTGCTATTTGTAAAGTTCACTTCACGCACAGGCCTTTGAAGACGGATATTTGAAAGTATAAAAGGGACTTATAAGTGTTAAAAAGACTCTTTAGTTAGAAAAATATGTTACATACTACAGTACCTAGTAGAATAGTACAACGAAAGCAAATTACGGCTTGGGATTCATTACAATCGAAAACGAAATGGCATTAGTATTAGGAAATAAGAGTAGAATAATTTGAATACATGAAAAGAATTTAGGCTTACATAAAACGTTCATAAATATTTTGCTTAAAGTGAGCGTTAATGTAAAGTAAACAATAAACGTAACTCGCTTGTGTACAGCCGAGGGAAAAGTTTACGTTGCTAAGAGGCGCTCCTGAAATTGAATATCTGGAAAGGTTTTCTCGACATAAAACCGCAACAAGAATAACAATTTCTACAACGCTTTACCACTTTCACCATAGTAATACAACATTGCTTGTACCACAGCAATACACTTTTGTCAGTGATAAAAAATAGCTGATCTTCCAGTTTTATGTGAAATAACATAACAAATTCCAAAACAAGTGTTAGCATAATGTGTTCCTCAGCCAACAATATTAAATCTTACTAAGCGTCACCTTCAGACTTAATAACCGTAACACCTTCTTGCATAATTATGTACATACACAAATGTGTACTAAAAACAATTTCACAAGCTCTTGTTCACTTGATCATAAGCCATCACGCCCCTATAAAACTCTTCCAAACGGTCTAATCTATAACGAATATATCATGTATTTTTTTAAATTAAATCGTCTTTATGTGAAAAACGATCGAAGTTAACATAGAAAACTGTTGACCCTGCAACATGACTACTGGAAGGTTAATTAATCAACAGATGTAATGAGACTCGGGAAGCTACCCTAGCCTCGCCCCCCTCCCTACACAGCCACCCCCCCCCCCCCCACCCAACAGCAACCCCGGCGTTACCACACTGGCCGATCTTATCAGCTTTAGTAATCACCGAGAAATCACTACATTACACTAAACCCAATCTGCACCACTTTGATCTCCATCTGCACACGTCACGCCCATTAGTAACGAATGGTTTATCTGAGTGAACCCAAACTTTAGTTCACTGTTTTACTTACACGATTGGATAATGGTTTTCATTTGATTTTTTAATAGGTACACTCTTTTAGCGAATTTCCCATATAGGGAATAAGCTATTACCGTAGTACTCATTGTAAAACCTGGACCCGAGACCGATTTGCTTTTTCGTTTTGAGGTTCGTAGAGGCCAAAAACACCATCCGTTCAAATTCATATATATTATACATAAAAAAAATTAATATTCAGGGTGAGTTTTAATTGTCCCCCCCCCAACTTTTTTCTACATTTTTTCAAATATCAATCCCAGACCACTTCCAAACATTGTTGGGTAGTAAGTACTTCATTTTGACAAGGTGGTCATTTCCGGCCGCCATCTTGGATCCGCCATATTGGATGCAAAATTTTTTTTCAAAAGTAAAGGTGGGGTTGTGACCCATTATTTCGAACAACATTTTTACTCTGATTACAATGCCGCAAACTGTTTTTAAAAATCTTGATTCATTCTAAAGTTATGAAAGCTTTTCAAAAAACTTTATTTTTAGCCCATTTTAACATTGTGCATGTACAAACTAAGATCATAATCTCAAAATAGTGCTAGATAAAGATAAGT